TGCTGGAATGTTTCAGGACTTTAGACAGTGTGAAGGGCTGAATGAACTGTCCAAGGTCCTGAAAGTTGCTGGCATGTTTCAAAACTTTAGACAGTGTGAAGGGCTGAATGAACTGTCCAAGGTCCTGAAAGTTGCTGGCATGTTTCAAAATTTTAGAAAGTGTGAAGGACTGAAGGAACTGTCCAAGGTCCTGAAAGTGCTTGAATGTTTCAGGACTTTAGACAGTGTGAAGGGCTGAATGAACTGTCCAAGGTCCTGAAAGTTGCTGGCATGTTTCAGGACTTTAGACAAGGTGAAGGGCTGAAGGAACTGTCCAAGGTCCTGAAAGTGCTTGAATGTTTCAGGACTTTAGACAGTGTGAAGGGCTGAATGAACTGTCCAAGGTCCTGAAAGTTGCTGGCATGTTTCAGGACTTTAGACAAGGTGAAGGGCTGAAGGAACTGTCCAAGGTCCTGAAAGTGCTGACATGTTTCAGCACTTTAGTAAGTCAGTAAGTAAGTAAGTAAGTAAGTAAGTAAGTAAGTAAGTAAGTAAGTAAGTAAGTAAGTAAGTAAGTAAGTAAAGTTTTATTTATAAATCACCTTTCACAGAAATATATTCACAAGGTGCTGTACAAACATTAACAGTATAAAAATGGTGGAAAGAATAAAATGAAACAGAAAAACATAATTACACATAAGCAACAAAAAACTGAAACATCAAATCAAGAAAATAATTTCAAATACTGTAAATCAAACACAAGGTCAATTCAGTTCAAAATATACAATAATGCACAAAAACATAATGAATGCGGGAGAGAAAAATATGGCGTGAGTTAATAGTAAATAAAACACAGATTGTCGAGCATTCACAATGGAGGTAGGCCTGCAGTAATGGTGAAATGGTTAGCTAAAACTCTTGAGAGAAAAAGTGAGTTTTTAGGAGTGACTTGAAAGAGACAATGTTATCAAGGGAGCGTAGATTAAATGGGAGTTCATTCCAGAGCCTGGGGGCCACAGAGGAGAAGGCACGGTCACCACGAGTCTTAAAGTGAGTGAGGGGAACCATAAGGAGATGTTGATCCTGTGAGCGGAGGTCCCGTCTGGGGTTGTAAGGTGAAATGAGACATTTAATGTATTCAGGTGCTTGGCCATGAAGAGCTCTGAAAGTGAGGACCAGGATTTTGAACCGGATTCTGAACTGAACCAGAAGCCAGTGAAGTTCTGCTAGGATTGGGGAGATGTGGATGAATTTGGATGTTTGAGTTAGGAGTCTTGCTGCCGAGTTTTGGACAAGCTGAAGGCGAGTTAACTGTTTCTGGTTAAGACAGGTGAACAAGCTACTACAATAATCTAAGAGGCTAGAAATGAAAGCATGAATTACCATTTCCAAGTCTGAAGTGGACAGTCAGGGCCGGAGGTTTTAGATGTTCCAAAGCTGAAAGTAGTATGTAGAAACCAGATTCTTCTTGTGTTTATCTAAAGACAGATCTGAGTCTAGATTTACTCCCAGGTTGCACACATTCTGCTGAACAGTTGACCTCAAAGAGCTGAGATGTTCTTTTATCTTTGYGATTTTATTTTCAGGGGCCAGAATCAGTGTCTCTGTCTTAATGAGGTTTAAAAGTTGCAAGTTGTCAGACAGCCAATGGTTAACTTTAGTGACACATTTTATAAGAGAGGTGAGCTTGGGGTGGTGGAGTCATTAAAGGAGCAGTATAGCTGTAGGTCATCTGCATAGAAATGGTAGGAGACATCTGGAAAATTTTTGATGACCTCATTCATGGGGCGGATGTAGAGCAGGAATAGAATCTGGCCCAGGATGGAACCCTGTGGAACCCCACAGGAGAGTTTGGCTGAGTCAGAGAGAGATTGGCCTAATAAGACTGAGTGAGCGGTCTGAGAAGTATGATTTGAACCAGTCTACTACTGGATATCCCTATGTCTTTCAGAGTTCGAAGGAGGATGGTGTGATCGACAGTGTCAAAGGCTGAGGAAAGGTCCAGTAAGAGGAGGACAGAGTACATGGCTCTATCAGGAGACATTAACAGATCATTTGAGACATGTAGGAGGGCAGTCTCTGTAGAGTGAGATCTGCGGAAGCCAAATTGAAAGGGGTCAAAGAGATTATTTACATCCAAGTAGGATGTTAGTTGTACTGAAACAATTTTCTCCAACACCTTAGACAAAAATGGTAGCTTTGAAATGGGCCGGTAGTTGTTCAGATCAGATGGGTTTAAAGATTGCTTTTTTAGTATAGGTTCCACAACTGCTTTTTTAAAGGATTCTGGGACACATCCTGATGTAAGTTAGAGGTTTAGCAAGTCCGCAAGTGTGGGTCCTACGCCAAAAACAGCTTTTAAGAATCTGGGAGGTAAAATGTTAAGAGGGAAGGCAAGATGTTAAGAGGGGAGGCAGATGGACATTGTTTAGACAGTGAAGGGCTGAATGAACTGTCCAAGGACCTGAAAATGATGGAATGTTTCAAAAGTTTGGACCAGTGGTTCCCAAACTTTTTAGACTTGTGTACCCCCGAGCCATTTTGTCATGCCACTAGTACCCCTTCAGTCAAAAGTGTCAGGTTTAGACATAGAATGACCCAGGGCACAGGCAGAGTTCAGGTGTAACAAAAATATGGTCTTTATTAAATCAAAAAGCTGACAAGGCAGCTGAAAACTCACTAGAAGGACGTGGCGAAAAACCTACATGAAACATGAATGAGACAAGCTTTGCAGCACAATGATCGGGCACTGACACAGAGACAAGACAGAGCTTAGATACACAGGAAAACTAATGAGGTAACAGAAAACACCTGAGGAAACAAAAACAATACTAATCACAGAACTGAACACATCTGAGACAAAAAGGAACTTAACAGAAAACCCACATGAACAAAACCCCAAAACAGGACCTAAAAAAAACCTAACCATAATACAAAAACAGAAACCAAAAAAACCAAACTATGACATAACCCCCGTTTTAAGGGGCAGACACCAGACGCTCCAACAAAGGACAACACAGAAGGGACGACGAGACAATACAGACTTGACAATAAAACATAAAAGTCCAGGGGGACGGCCAGGAAACCCTCCCCAGCAAGGCAGGAGGTCAGGGGGAAGGCCAGGAACCCATCCAGACGAGGTCCTGCAGGAGCAGATGTTGAGCCCCAGGAGGAGACGTGAGCAGACGTGGAGCCAAGGGAGGAGGCAGGAGCAGACGTGGAGCCAAGGGAGGAGGAAGGAGCAGACGTGGAGCCAAGGGAGGAGGCAGGAGCAGACGTGGAGCCGGCTGAGGTTGATGGAGNTCTCGTAATATTACGACTTTATTCTCGTAATATTACGACTTTATTCTCGTAATATTACGACTTTATTCTCGTAATATTACGACTTTATTTTTATACTACATTAATGTCGTAATATTACGGCTTTAAACTCGTATTACGATATTAAAATCATAATATTACGACTTTAAACTAGTAATATTTTGACTTTATTTTCATGCGACTTTAATGTCATAATTTTATGACTTTATTCTCATAATYAAAAAATAAAACAAATCTCATTGTGTGGCCCTAATACTCCGTCGTACTTTTGCAACCATCTGTCSTTTGATAAAACACATTTTCCCGACCACTTCAGCATTTTCTGTCAACCAAACTTGTTGATTATAGGTGTGATCTACTACTTCACACTCTGACTTGATCCCATCTGCAAACAGGATGTCAAGTCCACAGCATGCACAAACAGAAACCCTCAAACTCAGCATATTAGATGCATGATTCATTCAGCTTTCTGCTGTTTAAATAAATAAAAAGCAGACTCTACAGTAATTACGGTGATTATAAGTGCTGGTGGCTAAAAATGAGAGATGTATTCTGCCTTCAACACGCTATCTGAAGTCCTTATCTTAAAGAAAGCATTAGGAAGTGATTTAAAAGGAGTGTTAAAACAGTTYAGTACAAATCGAACACTGCTTTCAGTTGAATGTACTTTCAAACAGCTGAGCAGCGCTTACCTCATCAAAAACTTAAGGTCCCATAAAATGCTGTATGCGACAGTCTGGTGGGAGACAGATATGAAGTTAGTCATAATAATAGGTTGAATGTATTTAAATAAGTGTCTGTGATAAAAGTGTTCTTACCTGTAGAGCTATGATGCCAAATAACCCAAAGCAGGCGTACTGTACAAAATTTCTACTGAGAATGAGGACACAACCGCCTGYAAGAAGAAAAAATGTTCAAGAAAAGAAGGCAATTAGTTGTAATTTCCATTTTTTCTTAAAAGAAAAAAAGCACCACACACTGTACGGTGAACTGGTCGTTTAAGAGCATCATCACAGTCAAACCATACAAGCAGAAACAAGAGTAAATGATGAAAAATCCACAAAAATATTCCTCATAATCTAGTTCAATAAACATCCAGGAACTATCCAACTGATCTATGAACGTGTGGTTTTCTTCTTTGTGTCTCTACAAGCTCAACTGTACACATCACAGCCTTTTTATCCCACTATATTGTCCTGAATGAGAGAGCTGAAGTGTAATGGACACACGTACATTTGTTGCAAAAAACAAACATTTATTCCTTTTTATAGTAAATAAATGTAAATCTCAAACTCGTAGTTGAATTATGTTTACTCCTGCATGTCCTGGAAGCATTTCAGCTTTTAAGCAACCCTTAAAGATAAGACTGAGTGGATATACTAATATAAACACRTTAATTACAACTATATCTTACATTGCTTCTAAAAAAAATCCTCATAACATCTGACACATGACTGTTGTTGCTGTCGATTCTTAGTCACCAGAACATGATAAATCCTAAGAGTAAGTTTTGTTTAATTGTTGAGAAAGCTCCAACGGTGAGAAGCAAAAAGTCTTCAACAAACAAGTAAACAAGTCTAGTATTTTTGTTTACAAACTCTTAAAAGTACTCCAACAGTTCCATAAAAATTGTGAGATAATGTACTGCAGCTGCACTAGTGTACAGGAACTTAAATAAACTAGTTATTACTGACACTGTGTACTGAATGTACAAACTGTGCTGGTCCTTGTAAACGTCTTCAGTGTCAAATAATGACGAGCTTTTTGGAATCTTGTCATTACGGCATCACTACGTTTGTTGAACAATCTGTTTTTTTTTTTATTCTAGATTTACATGACGCTATGAAATAATAATTTAAAAAAAAACATCCTGTGCACTCACCCAGCTGTCCCACGAGGTTAAGCRGCACAAAGCACGTAGCCAGAAAGTAGCCACAGCTCCAGGTCGCCTCGATGTAGTCTCTCTGCTCGTTCCACTGGAACCACATGCGGATCCCGTCTTCGAGGAAAGTGCTGATGAGACACAGACGTGCCAAGTGGGGCAGGTACTGTTTGGTCACCCGTAGAAACTAGAAAAGAAGTAAATAAAAATAAAAATCATAAAGAGAGAGAACTAAGTTAGAAATCCAGTGTACAGACCAGCTGTGCATCATGATACAAATATTTATACGGCTGTCTACAGTTAAATCCTATAAATCTACAGTACTATTTATTGCCTATACCAGCATTCTGCCATGCAACATCAATATCACATAGAGGTACGGCCTCACTTTAGTGTTATACCCTGGCTTTATAATAGTGCTTCCTTCAGTACAGTTCAATAATTTCATACTTCATCGTCTCCCCTGTGTTTACAATGGAAAACAATACATTAAAATAACATTACTTCCCCCCCAGTGACAGTCAAAAGCTCAGAAACATCATCCTTGGAAGAACCGGTGTGACAAAACTTGTCTGCAAGTAAATTAACATTTGAAAGCAACTAGAACAGGTAAGTTAAGAATTCAGTTTTAACATTTGAGCTGAAGACAGAACATTCTGGACAAATGTTAAAATTAAGTGACTAAACTCTACAAGTTAACCAAATCTTTTAAAAAAACATACCAAGTAAAAACTGTTCACCTTAGCTTATTTTATTGCGCAACATAAAAACAGAATCGGACAAAAATGTCAAAACAAATCAGATTACCACAACTGGTTTCCTTTGTGTGGTAAAACATAAAAAAACACTACTTCCTGATGGTGTGTTAGCGATGCTGCTGGGTAAGCATAACCATAATATAGTATCACTAAAAAGCACTTAGTCTTTTGTTTACCAGTCTGTTGCTTCACTATTTAAACCTCTAATAATCTAGGAGGCCATGCTGTGGGAAAAAAATAATAATCAAAAACAAGATGATGACATTAAAATACATTTACAGGCTGTTCTTCCCTTCAACTTCTTAAACTACCACTTTAAAAAGGCAACCAATGATCTGAACAGAACAAATCACTGACCTCAGGTGTGTGAGAAAGCATAATGTAGGCTGAATTAAACGTAACGAAGCAGAAAAATCTCAAGACAATGCGTGTGCACTCTTTTCTGTTAAATTATTAGACAAAAGCGTCACCCTAGGCTACAGATCACAACACATGCACAGTTCTTCATATAATCCTGGGTAAAGAGGAGTGACCTGCCCTTTCCACCCCCACCCTAAACCCGTCCAGCCCATCCAGCAGTCCACATCAGCACACACAGGCCTCAGCAGCCTATCAGCATCCATCAACTCCCACTAGAGCTGCTGGGAGGGACTGGAATGGGCAAAACCTGAGCCAATCCCAACAAGCCTTAGGGTTGCTGCAACAGCCTAGAAATAGACAACTCTACAAAGTCTCATGTCTAAAGCAAATTGTGTACCCAATTAAAGACATGGTCTGTTTCAGACATTTTTCTGTCCCCTTATTCAAGCAGTTTAACGTTACACAACTTTGACAGAGACGTGCACAATCTAAAAGGGAAAAAATGTGCCTTTAGTGACGTGGTTCATTCAACACATCTGCTACACAAAGAGCAAACTGCATGTTTTGTTTTGTGAACTTATAATTGTGTTCTTTAGTATAAAATACAGCACAGAAGACAAAACAGCTGCAACAATACTTGCATGAATAAAAGCAGCTGTGACGAAAGTGGAGGCAAAGTTGACCTCCAGTTAAGGGATGGCAGGCAGAGGCAATATGCAGGTGATGGGTTTACAAGCGTTTGTCAGGTTTTTTTTTAAAGCTAAATAAAGCAGTATGGGTGCTGCTCAAAACCAAGAAACATGACTTAGCTTTCATAACCGAGTGCTAATCCGTGCGATTTCACAACTGCAGACGGGCACAGTCTAGTCTGTCTGGCAGCAGTGTTCATATTCAAATTACCAGCTCTGGTTAAAAACGGCAAAATGTGGCCCTTGTTCGCCAAGTCTTAACCAAGTAAATCAGTGCCAGTCAAACTTATCTAATCTTTCTCATTTATCAAGTCCATAGAGTCACATGACGTCTCAGAAGAGTTTCTTCTTCCAAACACAAGAAACTGTCCTGTTCATCTGAGGTCACGTTTGTACCACAAAGCTCGCAGAAACAAACCAGCAGCGGTTGTCAGTGATAAAGCAAAGAGTTCACGCGCCTCACTTCACTCTCATTAAAACTAGTTAGCAGCTAGCATGCTAACAGCGGCTAGCATGCTAGAAATGAAGTTACCTGGTCTGCCACGTCTTCGGCTTTGTTCATTAGATCCTCCTGTCCCATGTTTCTGTATTCTCACAACTTTTGTTATCTTGAAATGTCCGTTGTCTTCTGTATGAATATATATTTGTATCTTCGCAGGCTTCGGCCAGGCTGTTCCTCCCCCCCCGTTATTTACTTGACGACTCACCCGTTCGCCCGGACGCAGAGAGAAAGGCCGCCTCCGCCCCACAATGCCCCGCGATTTTGACGGAGCGAAGGCAGGAGAGCCCCCCCTTCCAGACAACCGCCGTGTGCCACGTATACTGAAGCGAGCAGGGGCTTCACACACTGCCACCCGGCGTTGTTTACAGCCCTGCACACACAGGTAAACAACACAAGGCTTCAACACACTAGTAGAAGTCAGAATTGTTAAAAAGCACTCTGATTTCCTCCCTATTATTTATTGTATTTTGTGAAACCACAAGTCATTTCATAGTGCAAAAAACATCATGCAGCAGTTTCTGAAGGAACTACAGAAGATAATGATAAAAAAAAGAAAAATAAATAAATATTAAAAATAGCTATTTTTTTAACACACATAGGAAAGATATGGCCCTGGCCTCAGGGCCATCTTATCAGATGTAGATGTCTTTTTTGGAGGACCAAAACTGACATAATTAAAATTAAAAGTGGAAATAGCCCAATAAATGCACAAATGCACCCATTTACCTCGTGTTTTATAATGTAATTGACTTGTGTATTTATTTTTCCAGCTTAGTTCCAACAAATTACATAATATATTTTATTTTTATTATTTTTGCCACGAGTCTTTTTATTTCCATCTGTCATCTTTACATTTTTCTGTCTAGTGTTGTAATCAAGACCACCTAACCCAAGACCAAGTCAAGACCAAGACCAGAAAAAAAAAATAAACATACCTAGTGTCAAAGGATGGGGTATTCTGTACACATGTAGCTAACTTAATATGTCGAGCTAATACTGACAAAACCTTTGTGTGGGGCCACACAGCCGGTAACAAACATACTTAAATAGCAGTTAGTCAGGTTTAAATTTGAATCAGTAGCTACGTTATATGCAATAAAAGCAAAAATGTTAAAAAAATAAATTGGACAATAATCTGGCTATTTAGTGATATTTCCACAGTTGTGGTCTTGAAATAAAATTCCTAGTCCTTAATGTCCGAGACCAAGACAAGACCGAGTACAAATGGTGCTGAGTCCAAGACAAGACCATCAAAAAGTGTTCTTGGGACCGGTCTTGGTCTACAACACTAGTCTCCTGTTTTTACTTTTTTGTTCATTTCTGCCTCATTATCCAAATAAGGTGGGCTGCCCTTCTTGGGCCAGCTCCTCTACTTTTGGTCATCAGACAGGAAGGAGCAGGATCCATGTGCAGATCGATTGTGCACGCCTGTGCTTCCTCAGTTTAGCAACAAAGGTAAGCAGGAAAAAGAAAAAAATTGTGTAGGTCTTCTGGACGGGTTCTTCTCTAATGAAACGTTTCGTCTCTTCTCCAAGAGACTTCTTCGGTCTGAGAGTTTCAGGCAAAATTCATACTTTTGTGATGTGACTGATACTCACATCACATGGTTATTGTTGACACCTAATTAACACTTATTGTTAACAGGGGTGGAGTGATACTGGCAATAGCCGCGCTGTAGGAGGAGGACAATTGAAAACGGAGGCCTCCACCTCTGTTTAATGATGGACGGTCTTTCTTCACAAAAATGGCTTCTTTTACTCCTCTCTCAAACCAACGTTCCTCTCTNCCTCCACCTCTGTTTAATGATGGACGGTCTTTCTTCACAAAAATGGCTTCTTTTACTCCTCTCTCAAACCAACGTTCCTCTCTATCAAGAATGAGAACATGGTCTGAAAGAGTGACCGCTGGCCTGTAAATGAGTGGAAACTGCAGAGCTCTGGCCATTAGATGTAGCTCGTAGCTTGAGAGAGGAGTAAAAGAAGCCATTTTTGTGAAGAAAGACCGTCCATCATTAAACAGAGGTGGAGGCCTCCGTTTTCAGCTGTCCCCCTCCTACAGCGCGGCCATTGCCAGTATCACTCCACCCCGTTAACAATAAGTGTTAATTAGGTGTCAACGATAGCCATGTGATGTGAGTATCAGTCACATGGAGGCTGGGCTTAAAAGCCTGAAACTCTCAGACTGAAGAAGTCTCTTGGAGGAGACAAAACGTTTCATTAAGAGAAGAACCCGTCCAGAAGACCTATACAATTTTTTTCTTTTTGATTTTTTACCTGGATTACTGAGATGCATCAGGACGTAAGCAGGAAAACACTTACCTGTGCCTTTATTTAAACTAAACTTTAAGTTAAACTGAGGAAGCATGTTTTACTTGTTTACCTATTGATAACCCACTGATTCAAATCATTTGTGTTTGAGGAGAAAAGCATCTAAAGCATGCAGAAAAGTGGCCCTGCAGGACAGGGGTTGGACCCCCCCTAGTTTAGCTAGTTTACCTGGTGGGTCTGAGCTGATGCTTTGGCTGACATGTGCAAACCAAGCCCACACAACTTGTTACACAATTTGTAGTCTCCCCTTGACTACAAATTGTGTACGCACATTCATCGGATGTACATCTACCAATGATTCATTTTTGAAACCAGTCTTGTTCAAGATGGCTGCCACAGTAAAGTGAACTTTGAAAACACAAATGGCTAAAACCCTAGCAAATTTTTTACAAATGTGGCACCATTTAAAATAGAAATTAACAGGATTTCCAGCGGCATAAGATTTATTACCAAGAAGCATTGTTACAACAAAGAAATAATGTACCATACACAAATGTCCTTCATTTTTTGTGCTACGTTTATTTAAAAAAGAGTAAGTGTATTTAAAGTAAAACTGCTTTATGTCAAAAATGTGAACTTGGAATACCTTTTTTATCCAAACGTTATACTAAAAGAGATACAAACACCAAGCATCCAAATACACAGTATTTGTTTTAATGGCTCTTGCAGAAATAATGTTTGTAATGACTCAAATAAAAAAAGACAAACAATATTCGCAAAATCCAAATAAAGATGTATTTTATACAAGAGCATGAACAAGAATACACACCTCTATTTGTCACACGGGCTCATTTCATAATCATCTGTGGAGGAACAATCCAACATAAAAGGTTTTCTCTTTGCTGCTGGACGTTCAGACAGAAATAACACTCTAAGCTGGGTGTCAGAATCCAGTTACCCAGATATAAAAGTAATATATTATTGTGCCAGTGCTTTTGACTTTCCGTTTTTTGCTTTTGCACACTTTTTGCGTCCTGATTTCCACCGGTTATTTCTAAATTTCTTTTGAAATCCACCCCCCTGGACCTGAAAGGAGAACAGATCAAAAAATCAGCATCAAATTAACAAAGAAAATTTTAGTCAACTGCATCCAAACTAAAACATGTTTTTTGATTTTTTTTTACACATTTTACAAACCTTTTTTCGTTTCTGCACCACCTGTGCGTCCACCTCCATTTTCTCATCTTCGTCTGTTTGAAAGTCATCGCCCTCCTCATCCTCTCCGCCGTTTTTGCTTTCAGCTGCCGTATCTTTTAAAGTGAACATGGACGCTGTGGGAACGTGTCACAAAATGTTTAAAGCACAAACAGACACAAATGACTCGAAGCGGAAATGTTGCTCAGCACGACGTGATCTAAAACAGATCTGTAAAAGCTGGATGCACTGACGTGGATAGAGGTCACTCAGGCTGTCTTCTGAGTCGCTGTGCTCGTCGTCGTCGCTGCTGGAGGGTTCCCACACGCCGGTCGATCGCTTCGATTCCTTCCCCTGACTCATGTCTTCGCTTAAATCTTTGGGCCTTTTCTGTTTCAGTCGGGCCGGAACATATTCGACTCCTTTTTGAACACAGTCCTCATCTAAAGCAGAGAACGGGCCGACACAATCAATATGAGAACGTGACTCTCCATAAACTTGGATCTGCAGATAAAATATCAGCTTAAAGCAAAGTCTGTTTGTTAGTTAGTTAGTAAATCTTAAAAATGAGTGTGGCTATTATTTATCATGGAACTAACCCCTTCAAAAACACTTTTTTAAAAGCTTAAAAATCAAATAGAAGGTATTTCCTTCCTTGGAAGATAGGCGTAACTAATAATTTCTGTGTGCAGATGCATAAATGTGTAACACCACCCAATACAAGTGACCCACTAACAAAACTATGTCATGCATTCAAACAAGGGAGCCACTGACATTTTGAAAGGGCTTTCTTGAAGCGTTTCCCGTTGACGTGTCTCAAGACATGATCTGGCTGCCGGTTGAGATGCCTCAGGGTCAGTTTACAGAAGAGATGATTGCTAAAAAAACAAAAACAAAATGAAGAATATTGGAAATTAAGTGTTATTCAGAGTGTTTACATATTTAGCCATAAAGTTACTTTGCTTAGGAAACAAGGGTCCCCTTACGGTTGCTTTGTGCTTGGAACAATGTGTGGTTCATACTGCATGTAGCTGAACTCTGCAGCAGCACTCAGTCTTTTGTATTTCTTTCCCTGGATGAAATTCTGTAGCTCCGTCAGGTTGCAGGGAATCTCGTGGTTATTCAGAGTACATTTGATCTGAAAACAAAAGAAAAAAACTTTAAAAAGTGTGGCACACTTGGAGTAAAGGTTGTGGTTTATCTTCTTGCAGCACAAAATGACAACACATGGCTTGCAGAGTTGCATTTTTAGCACACACACAGCTAGAACACGTACATGGTGTCTTTTGTGAAATCATGTAAGTTATTCACCAACCTTTTTGTCATCTGTTAGCTGAAAAAAGGGGTGGTTGTTCAGAAAATCCCTGACGTTCGCAGGTAAGTCATCCATATTTTAGAAAATGCTTCTAACGTGCTAACTTTGATTTGTAAACGAGGCCACCTCCCCAACAGGAAGTTGTAAACATGTGGTTTAATGACGCTTTGCTGCGGCGCGTGATGCTAGCACCGCCTACTGGTCAAAAGTAGTGACAACAGTTTAAATAAAAACTTCAAACTTTTTCGCCTATTGCTGCTTTTTTAAATTATTATTTTCAAACAAAACAGTTTACGCAACATAATAGTTTAACATAAGCAGCAGAAAATGTTTAAATTGTTGTTTCTTGGGTTGAGCAGCAGCTGACCTGAAGTCAGCTGACTCAGTACAAAGTCTCAGAGAGTGAAAAAAGTAAGACTATTCACTCCACATGCACTATGTAAAAACCCTTCCGGACATTTATTTTATTTTAATTAAATATCTACAACATTATCCAAAACATTAACTCGTAATGTTAGTCGTTCTGTAAATTATCTTCAGATTATAATACTATATGTATCTTACTCAACTCGTCAGCAAATAATTTTAACCGAGTGAATCATCTTCTTTTCTTCAATCTTTGCGTACATTTTCCCCACAATTCATTTGGTTCCGCAAACAAGTTTTTGACGCCTGTCACTGACATTTCTACACTTTTTTGGGACGTCCTCCGCTAAATTTATTTATAAAAGCTGAAAATTTAATTTAAGCAAGCATTGGATTAAAGTGAGCTTGGTGTTAAATGCGCAGAATTTGAGCTGCTGCTCGTAGAACATCCGTGCTAATGCTAGTTAGCCGCTAGTTGCCTTAGCTAATAGTTGCTACTTTTCTGTGTTACAGCTACAGACGGAAGTTTTTGAAAAATAATGTCTGGACCAAATGGAGATCCGGACATCTCCACTGATGATGGTATTATCAACGACGACGACGAATTTGGCGACCAGGGTAAATATTGCAGATATTTTGAGCCTAAATCGTACTTTTAATAATAAGTTATAATATTTGGGGGATTCAGAGCCAGTGAGTTTTGTGACACTCCTACTACTGATCTACTACTATTACTTTGTTTGGACTTTGCAAATCATTTATACACAAAATAGTTACATGGCAATGCAATAAAACAAGAGAAAATAAAGTTATATAAATCTGTTTTGACAATTTTTTTTCTTTTGAATAATATTTTTGTTATGAACTCTCTGACACAAGCTCATTTATGATTCTGTTGTTTGTCCACAGAGTACGCTTCCATCAACTCGATGCTGGATCAGATCAACTCCTATCTGGATGACCTGGAAGAACGTAACGATTCCCTTAATGGCAAACTGCACGAACTGATGGAGTCAAACCGGCAAGCCCGTCTGGAATTCAGGGCCCAGCTGCTCGGCTCACCAACCCAGGAGGAAGATAACCAAGAGGAGCCTCAGACTGCAGAGGAGAAACCCATTTTGCCTAGCAAAGAAGACTTGAACGAGGAAAAATGAGTTGTGACAGAGGCGTGCAGATCTGGAGTCAAAGTTAGTTAAAAACCCAGGATGAAAGATAAACACGAGTGTCGACTCGGTTCCTAATTTCTGATCTGATCCATGCCTTTTGTGACTCTTCTGTGAATTTACATTCCATCCTGCAGACACGGGTTTTACATCTGAGAAGTTTTTCTGTCTCCTTTTTGAACTTTGACACTAGCGTTTGTTTCCTGAACAGAACAGTTTCTCATAAAAGCTGTGTGAAATGCTGTGAGCTTCTAGAATATGGTATTTTAAAAACAATAACAAGCAGATACTGCAGTATTTAACACTGTTCGTACATCAGCATCACATTCTGATCTGTCCAGTTAAATCACTCTCCGTCCAGATAATTCAGAGCGGGACATGCTTTAAGTTTTTATGTTTGGTCAGCATCAAATTCATAAAGATGTTTCAGGCACTACTTAGAATTAGTTAGTGGTATTTGGTGTGTTCTGTGTACTTGCTGTGTGTTTTGTCCTATAAAATATTCCAGATATTTATTGTAAGACTTTGACGTCCGTATGCTATGCATTCTGGGTAGTTTGAGATGATTCTTTCAAAAAGAAAAGCAGAAGAGTTGTATACAATAAATACTGTATGAAGAGAAAATGTGAAATAAAGATTATTTATTGTGACCACTTGGCTTAAGAGAGATTTATACGTATATACAAATACTGTATATTTATANATATATATCTGTATATATGTAAATGTAAATGATTGTTTCCTTAGTATAAGCTTATATACTGTAGATCCTGGATGATTATTTTTTATTAACGTTAATTTGTCTCATCAGTATTTTTAGTGTTTCACAGCCACACTGGGACAATGTGATCAGAATGCGGCATACTGAAACAATATTGTTCAGGAATGTTACACTCATCGTTGAGATGGGTATCTGTACTGCTATGTATTGCAGATGTTGCCAGTTTTTCCCACATTTCTTTTGGTGTTTTCTCTCCATCTCTTACACCCAGCTGGCAGCATCCTCTTCATATGGAGGATTTTAATCGAACACATTAAAGGTGTGACTGAAAGTTGGGGTTGTTCTCTTTAAACAGGCCGCTGATTTCAGCCACACAATACAGAAATAAGAAACAAAGCAAATCCATGACACTTCAACCAATGAAGCGCCCACTGATTAAGGAATTTTCCCAGAATGCACTGCAGTGTGATGACTGTTAATCCTCATGGATTATCTAATGTGTCCCTGAGTTTATTTAGGAATAAGTTTGAACAGCGTGTCACAAACGTAAGCCGTGAACAAATAAGAAGTCAACACGTCATGAGGTTTCTCTGACATTTTAATATAAATTAAGATTACTTGCAAACAGAAAACAAACATCCAAAAATACATTAAACCTCCAGCAGTTAGAAAACATCACCTGGTCGTTCGTCTCAATTTGTCAGTAGCTGAATAAAAATACAATAAGAAACATAGTTGTGTTTGAAATTCTTTTTTTTTTTTTTTGCTCCAGATCCATTCAGGTTGAGAAAGTCTAGAAGGAAAGTTCAGACCACGCCTCGTTCCTCCAGAAATAAAACACTAAACGTGTGACAGGTGCACGAGTTGCTAAATGTGTCAAGTCTTTTTCCGGTCTGTAATATCCTCTGCTAACATGGAAGAGGATGAAATGTTTCCAGATCAGCACACTAATGTCCCACTTTTGTCCTTTCGGAGCACTGAAATGACATGAAGTTACACGCTTTTTGTAATCTACTGGATTTAACTGGTGCTTCAGACCAGAGGCAACAGCCTGCAGGGATAGTTTGCTAAATTAAAAATATATATATGAGCACACATTATGAAAATTTAATTTGGATTATTTCCAGAGAACAGAAATCTATAAAAGGAAAAGAAACTAAATGATAAACTGGTGTCAACTACGCACCATCACAGTATTTGCGCTGCGAATGCTCATAGGTGCATCTGATGTCTTTTTTTCCTCTCCAACTATAGGCACACTTTAATCATCCAGAGGAACAAGACAACAAACTGAATAAAACCTTTGTGATGCCAATACAACCCATCCAACAGAAGATATTTTGTTTTTCATGGATTCTGATCTTGAAGCTGCTTAAATCCGCCTCAAATGAAAACAAATAAGATCCCTCGAAGTCAGAGATTTCTTATAATTTTCCTTCAGAATTAAGAAGTGACAACAAAGCTGCTGCTGACCGCCGTAAGTTGTCATATTTTTACTCTAGACGTGTCTGTTTATGTGAAACTAGTCCCCAAAATTTCACTAAGCAAGCTATAGTAAGATTAAAAAATTTAAATTTGAAAACAAAGTTAAAATTTAACACATTTTTTTTCTTTTTCTTTTAAACAGCTGTCACCTGATCAAACACTCATCAGGTTACATTCTACATTTCAGCTTACTAAAAGGATTTGCTATGCAGTTAGCAATGTGGAAAATGTTTCCACTTTACCACAAGTACAGCATTCGACACCTGATTTTAACAAAATGCTTGTTTAAGAAGCATCAAAAGCTGACAATGACTTCATATTAAACTTCTGAATTGAGGTCAGCAGGGTGGAAAATTAACGTTTTTGTGAGCAATCCCTCCAAAAATAGAAGGCAATGACGAAATGTCAACAGTTAGTTATGAAACAGGAACTTTGGTAGATGGTTAATTATCATGAGGACCTTCTTTTTTTATTCATGTGAAGCTGAATTACTTATCTGATGCTGTATTCTGGTAGTGAGAACAGGATACGGTCTGCACAAAAATAAAAAAGACCTATTTAACTGTAAGATAAAGCAAAAAGTGTTACCCACAGATGACAATTTTAACAGCTGTCAATTTCCCACCCTGCCTGAGAAATTTAATCCATCCTTTCTTTTTTACTGGCATTTAGTAACCAATCTTCCTACGTATTGGTGCATGATTTCCTCTGAATTTCTAACTTGGAGACAATGGACCAACATCTTCTGTCCCAGAGAACACATCAGATGGTTTCCTTTCTCTATCGTAGCTTGAACTCAGCGTCTAGTTGTGGATCTCCCCGACCTTCGTTTTGTGGGGGTTTTTGCCTTCCCTGTGCTGCTCTTTTTCCCTTGGCTAGCAGGAACTACCTCCTCCTCCTCTCTGTTCGATTCCTCAGCAGCAGCCGCCGCTGTCTCGGAGCCGACGTTCTCAGCTGGAGCCTCCTGGGCTGTGGTGTCTCCATCCCCATCGAGATGGCTGAGGTTTTCATCTGGGCTGCCGGTCGCTGAGACGCCTAAATCCTGTGAGGCTGAGTCAGTTTCTGATTGTTTGTCATCCAGTTGGCTTCCTTCCTTTAATTTCAGTTGGGCGACCGTAACAACTGGCTTCATGACGTTAAGATCAGTGGCTGCGCTTGTGTCAAACGAGCAGTCTGTTGTGGTTTCTGTTGCAGGGTTTGAGCTGTCTGCTGGTGGAACAGATTCTCTGGAAGATTGAAAAGCTTCACTTTGTTGACTCCGCAACGCTCTGTACCTCTGAAAAACAAAAACACAATAGGTTGCTTTCATGTGACATCATAAGAGCAGGGCTATTCAACTAAATTGCACCGGGGGCCACAGTTACTGCAGCTGAGGGGCCGAACATCCAGCAATTAAACTCCTCATGTAAATAAACCAATTATTACAAAGATCTGTTACCTTTGAAATAGTTTATTTTGTTGCATTTAATCATAAATACAACATACAAAACCCTATGTACTAAAATGATAATAAAACAATAACAAGAAGAACACATCATGCCTCTTATTTAACACAAATAATATTTTGACATCTGACTTGCCACATTTTTAAACCAATTTTATTTTCACTTTAATAGTTTTATGTTCAACTGCTTGTAGTTTTAACTGTCTTGAGTGCTCATAAATGTTATTTTTACCATCTTCTAGCCAAGATTCTGATGTTTCTGTAGATACCAAACATGTCTATGTTTAACTAAAAGAACTTGAAGTAATTAAATTAGAAAACCGGGGTTTTGGGCTTAAGAGATGAATGAACCAATTGGCGGGCCGAACTTTGGTCGCTCGTGGGCTGGATGTGGCCCGTGGGCCACCAGCTGAACAGCCCTGCAATAGAGCAAGAGCGAAACGCAGACGGAGGGCAGGAAGTGAAGAAGTGGAGGATCTGCTGTCTGAAAAAATGTTTTGTGCTCCAGTCGTTCCTAAAGGCCGTCACACTCTAGTGTTTTAGACAACATATGAAAATATAAAGACATCTACGCTGAAGATGAAATTTTAAAAAAATCAACTGGAAGCCTCTTTCAGGCATGTACAAACTGTAATGCTAAGAAATTGATCAAATATATAACTTTAATTAGTAATTTAGACATAAAAAATATTTTCATAAGTTGTCTAAAACGTCATAGTGAGACAGGGCCTCCTGACCCTGTCATACTATAAAGTTTTAGACAACTTATCAAATTTTGTTTGACTAAATTACTTATGTTATATATTTGATCTAACTGTTAGCACTGTATTTATGTATAGGTCCAAAAGAGGCTTCCAGTTGATTTATTTTATTCCATCTTCAGTGTAGACATCTTCAAAGTCGGACAAGTTTTCTAAAACGTTACAGGGCCTTAACCAAGTGTTTATAAAGCATCAGGCTGTCATAAAATTCACATTTACTAAGTAGTTATTATTAAAGTAAACGTATCATACTTTTTAATCTTTCTTTTTATATTTACATTCTTGAGTGGGGGTCTATATAAAGTGAAACTACAGTGCTTTGAATTCTGAATTCCTCTTTTTTTTTCCAACTCCACAAGCCCCTCTTTCATCCCTTTTCTGATGTCTCAGATCAACTCGTTTTGAGGCTGTTTCTTTGAATCTAAACCAGGTGCTTCACGCCCCGCCCCCTTCAGCTTCCAGCGCGGAGTAAAACATGTTGAAACGTTCGCTTTCTGACGGGAAACAAGCCTCTAACTGACGGTGAAGTCAAACTAACCTTGAGGTTCTCAAAGTGCTTCAGTGTTTTGCAGTGAGCGTTCAGGGCAGAAGATTCAAGGAGGTAAAACTTGTTGCAAAGTCTGCAGATGAAACCGGCGACTGGATATAAAAAACTGGATCCTGTCAATTAAAATGGCAAATTAGACATGATTTATTACCAAAAAGTTTCATCATTTGAGAGAAAAAAAAAGGAAAAAGTTACCAACCGTAGATGGTGTCAGGGTCATACTGCTCCTCATTGGTCACATCATTTTCAATCCCTTCTTCAAGGGAGGACCAGCCATCCTGTAACAGTTAACAGTGAAGGGTGCAAATTATCTTAAAGTGATGCTGAACTCTGGTCGTAAATTTAAAATATATTATCATTTTAAACAAAAATACATATATTTAAGCCACCTGTTCATCTCCTTCATTTTTCTGCCACTCCTCTTCTTGCTCCCCCTTCTCTAGAAAGAAGTCGCCAGTGTCCAGGGAGCTCAGCTTGGTCAAAGTTTCACAGCCTTTATCCTGGAGCTAACGAACAGCAACAAACATGAAGCAAAGTTGGATTTAATCTTTAATATTTGGAGACTGAATCACAGGGAATGTTCTCCACCTTCTGTTTGTGCTCCTGGGAGTGCAAGTGCTCTAAAAAGTCCTCGGAGGTCTTGAAGTGTTTCTTGCAAACGGCACAGAAGGAGATGTCGATTCTACTGGCGAGCTGAGAAGGGACAGCGAGGATCAGTGTGTTCTCAGTGGACCAATCCAAAAAGCCGAGAAGCATTAAAAAAAACATAACATTTTCTTAAAACCCACCTTGTGCTCCTGTGAGCGATGGTGCTCCTCGGCGCTACAAGTGAAGCGCGTGTGACACGTGGCACACCAGTGCTTCGAGTCTTTTTTCTCCCTGCAAAAAACAAAACAAAACACAGATGTTATAGAACAAAATTAGTTAATAAAGTACTGGTTATAAATGACTCTTAGCTGCTACCACATTAAATTTTAACCCAGTGTTGGGGAAAACTAAGTTATAGCAATTTTTGTATTTGCTAATTAAGGTTGGGCAATATTGGCAAAAAAAAAATTAACAGTCTAATGGGAAATATAAGCTCTCTAAAAATCTATTCCAACTTGTGTCAAAAGTACAGACTTAAGCTATACATCTGTTTTTAAATTGTGTTGATGGACCAAGTAAAACCAGAGTTATGATTAAAAAATAATTACGGCACTTTCTTCTTTTTTTTAAATAATGTTCATATTTGAGCTGAAGGCAGCAAAAGACGAGCAGATTCATGAAAAAACATCACTACAATCCAACATCTGGTTTGATCTGTACACCGCCAAACTGACATAAAACCCCCAAACACCTTTCTGACTGATGCCTGAAAATATTAGACAAGTGCCAAAAAATCTACAGGAAGAAAAACAAACAAACAAAAACACCCCACAAAAGTTTAATGAAGTTCGGCGGCGATAAAAGATACAACGAGATCAGGAATGAGTAATGAGAGATTAATATTTAGTGTGTTTGGGTTTTATAGTTAGGGTGTAGTTAATATTGCACATGATACGATTTTGCCCAACACTATTGCTAAAGGTCCTGTCACACTAGACAACTTATGCCAACTTGTGAAACATTTTTTTTGGGCTAAATTGCTTATAAAAGGGGTATATTTGATCAATTTGTTAGAAATACATTATGTACACGCCTAAAAGAAGCTTCCAGTTGATATTTTCAATTCCATCTTCAACGTAGACATCTTTAAAATGTTCATAAGTTGGCGTATGTTGTCTAAAACGTCACAGTGTGACAGGGCCTTTAGGTTAGTCATTTGTGGCCAAAATCATATTCATGTATTTAAAACTCACCCGTCTTTATTTGCTCCCTGAAGAGACTCCTGAACTCGAGGCAGCAGGCTAACCAGGCAGGCGTTGCTCATGTGCTGGATTTCCATCATCCTCTGCTGGTGGGAAATGCTGTTCATGTGATTCCTGAAGTTCTGCAGAAAACACACATTTTAAGACAAAATACAGCTTAAAAAAATCCTTCCATGACAACAGTGTCTCGCCTGCAGGTTTGCGTGCACGCTCAGCTCACCTGCTGGTTGTGGCAGGTGATGCTGCAGAGGTAGCAATAGAACTTGTTGGAGCTCTCCGCCACAGCTTCCTCCTCTTCAACCTGGTTCTCTGGTGAAGCCGCCGGGGCGTCTTTGTCTTGCGAAGCCTCCTCTGCTGGGAAATCTTCCACCTGCTCGTCTTCGTTCAGCACGCATGAGGGAGACGGGGTCGACGTACAGCTGTAAACCTGTAGAGACGAACAGCAAATCAGTGCTGTGTGTCATCTAAAATAATTTAGAGATTTTTTTTGTAATAAGTTACACAGAATTCAGCTTTGAGTAGTTGATTTAAATGATTTTGTGCTTCCCTCACCTGGTCAGCACTAAGATCCTCCAGTGCCTTGTCATCATCTGATCTCCCTTCAAAGTTTTCATCCTCCAGAACGCTGCAGCCTAGATAAACAGACCCTAATCATATGATGGAAATAACCCCATTTGGTGCCTAATTTGATATAATATCATCATTTAATAGATGTGGGTGTTTTTTTTTTACCTTCAGGCTGAGCATCCATTACATCACTGTTATAATCTGTAGTCCCAGCCTCAGCCACACACTCATCTTGAAGTTCCTCTGGCCTGAGATAAAAATGTTAAGAGGCTTTCATCACACAGAAAACACAGCAACAAGAAAAAATTTTTAAAAAATCCCCTGCCTCTTTTATTATAAACTACTCAGTTTCTTTAGAGACGGCTGCACGTTGAAGCTTTCCTAATCAACATCAGGTTTGAATAACAGCAGCTACAGATGATGAAATAATAAAAGTTACCTTGGTGATATGGAAATGAATTGGTCTCGCATGGAAAAGGCCACTGTGGTAAATTTGAAACGACAAGCAACAAACTGAACATTCGCGAACGAAAAACAAGTAGCTGATTGAGAGCAATGTGTGCCTCTTTAGCTGCCTTATTTTTTGTGCCCCAGGTGACAAAAAATATAAATAAATAAATAAAATAAAATACGCACGTTCAAGACAAAAGGTTTTAGATTTGCTCGGCGTGCCTCAGATAATGAGAATGTCCTTCACCACTGTGTACAAGGTGTGTTTTATATTTTAAATGGAACTTTAACATGTTTTATTTGTTTTAAACTGAGCACACGGTTTTCTTGGAAGTTATCATAAACAACAAAAGAACAGCTCAAATGTTAAGTGGTCATAAAACTGGTTAAAATACAAGTAGTTTTATACTGATTTGGACTAATAATGCAACAGTATTTACTGTATATTTCACAGAGATAAAAAGACTGTACATAAAATAAAGTAGCCCGACTAAAAGCATAAAAATACCTGTTTGCCCACCCTTCTGTTCTCTGCCGCTTTGCTGAAGGTTCTTCAAGCTGTTCCTCTGAGATCTCTGAGATCTCTCCTCCATCCACTCCTCCTACAGTACTATCTGTGGGAAGCAAATATAAACACCGTTTTTAGTACCTTCAAGCACACACACACATCAGCGTTTCCATCTGTCGGCATATTCCGACGCTGGTTTATTTCTCACGTTACCTGTTTGAGACTTGTCGGGATCTTCACTGCTGCTTTGAGCTGCTGCTGGTTGGTCGTCTGTGGTTCCCGCTGCCATCTGCTCGCCGTCTCTCTTCCTGTCTGTCTGACGAGCCGCAGCGTCCTGCACACACAGGCAGAAAATTCCAAATTAAACTTTCATAAACTCATGTTTCCCTTGAGGTTGGTTTAACAGTAACAAATACAAATACAATTTGCCAGGAAGCAAAACTTATTTTTTTAGAAACAAAAATGACAAATTTAATAAATACGTTACTTTTAACCCGTTGAACATTAAACATTTACTTTAACTGTAAAACAAAGACAGTAAAAAAACTGTAGGCTGTTTGGTTTTTATATATTTAAACTAAATTTTAAAAATATATTACACGGACGGAGCCATTTTATTTACACGCAAAGCATTCTGGGTAAATGATGACGTGGATAGGTCCTCGGTGCGAGGCTGCNACGTTACTTTTAACCCGTTGAACATTAAACATTTACTTTAACTGTAAAACAAAGACAGTAAAAAAACTGTAGGCTGTTTGGTTTTTATATATTTTTGAAAATATATAGTCACACAAACTGCACCATTTTATTAACACTGCAAAGCATACAGGGTTAATGATGACGTGAGCTCTCATCAACACTGAAGGTTAATCTTGGACAATATCTGACGATCAGGTTATTTAAATGAAACCAGAGTGACCTTGACAGACAGGAGAATATAGAAATGTTGCCGTACTTGTGACAATATATATTTTTAAAAATGTATAAAAACTAAACAGCTTACAGTATTTTTTTCAGCCTTTGTTTTACAGTTAAGGTAAATGTTGATCAAACAATGTCTAATATTAGAAAGCGATCAGTAATCCCTTTCAGCTTGTTTAAAATCTGTTTTCTGCATAACTGTATGTCCCATTTCAAAAGAGGAAAAACAAAGTCATAAACAATTTGATTATTTTCTGGGTCTACAAAAAAATTATCCAAGATGTCTCTTATTTTCTAAAATATTTCCTCTGGTAAAATAAAACTTGAAGAAATACTTGATAGATATTAAGATTTGAGACTGTTTTGATGTAATTATTTAAAGTAAATTTTAAGACACGGCTGAAAATCAGCTGTACGCCAGCCAAACTGAAAACCTTTAAAAATGTTAATCATTATAAAGGTTCCGATGTTATTACTGTGGTAGAGACAGAGGTAGACGTAGATGCTGCGGTGGCGTTGTAGAAGCGAGCGTGGTGGTGGAAAGGTCGTCCACCAGGGAAACCCATCATGGGGGACTTGATGGCCATCCCCATGGGAACTGGCCCGAGCAGGGAGGACCTGGTCCCTGCGGTGAAGAACTGTCGGAACTGTTGGCCACCCATCCCGAAGCCCCGCATGCTGCCTGGATGAGAGTAAACAAATGATTGAGCACTTATTCGTGTAGGTTTTTAAATTAAAGCAAATACAATGTTTTTTTTTTTTTTTTTTTACCTTGCATACCTTGCATCTGCTGCATCAGTAGAGCACCCTGCAGCATCGGATTGGGGGCGATGATGGTTGTCTGTGTCGCCTGACACAAGTTGACCATCCGAGGAGGAGGGGCTGACTGAGGAGGGACAGGAATGGCTCTGGACAACAAATAAACAGAAGATAAACATGTAGTGTTTAAACAGAAAAATCTACAGAAAAAAGTATTCTTCTTTCCTTCAGACTAGGAGAGTTTGCTTTGAACAAAAATATGTTGGTATGTACATAAAATGTTAAGGGGCTTACGTGGAAAAACAAATTTTTTTTGACATGCGCAGATAAAATCTATCATAAAATCATAAAAGCAAAACGCTCATTCAATCGCTTCACAACTGCTGCTAATATTTACACATTTCCTTTCTTCACCGTGTCATGTTATTTCAACTCACTGCTCAGCTCTAATCTGGACCAGTCAAATCGTTACCAGAAAGTATTTCTTTAAGTTTGCATCATTTTGAGTAACACATTCTTTATAACACATAATTATAAAGTGTTATCACTTAATGTGCATAACAAACCAAGTTAACACAGTGGTAAAGACATTTGCAGAATAGAATTCATAACAGATCAGAATATATATATGTGTAATGATATTAAAAAAAGAAAAAGCTATATTCAACAAAGTTTAAAAAGTACATTTATTATTGATCGTTAAAATCAGCAGGAACAAAGAAAGAAAAAATAAAGTGAGGTAAAGTCTTATTAGTTGTAACACACATTTAATACGAAGAAAATGCAACAATTGATTCTACAAATGTTAAGTTTAGCAGGTGATGCAGCTCAGCCCCCATCAGTTAGCAAGTCTCAGCCAGAGCAGGCCTCAGACCAATCCCCGGTGTCGCGTTATCAGGCTTACCGCGGTGTTTGGTGGTGATGCGGGACATGGTGCGCCGGAGGCGGCTGCGGCGGAGGAGGCGGCGGAGGCTGCTGCTGGAAAAGTTGTTGCAGCTGTCGGAGGTGCTGGTGAAACTGATGTTGCTGCTGCTGATGTTGCTGATGGATGTGCGGGTTAAACATCACGGGCTGCAATATTCTCCGATAGTTTACACAGAAGAGTGTCCCGGTCCGTGCCGACGTACAGAATCAGAAACCTGAACTGGAGGATAGAAGTGAAACCTCTGCTTTTTAGTCCTGCGGTCATTTTTAAACACACGTTATAACACTGCGCAGTCCCGAGACAACAGGTCGCTCTCGTATTTCATGAAAACTAGCCTCTGTTAGCAAATATTTACGAGCAACCATTTACGTCAATGTGGTTCCCTGCAAAATTTAAACCGAAAACATCATATTAACTAACTAACTAAATATTGACCAGAACATTATCCCAAACTATAACGTTTCGTGTCTAATTTATGATTAATAAAGAACTATGACACCTGCTAATTGCTAATGTTACACATATCCAGCACAACAGCTTAGCTTAGCATTATTAGCATCGCGCTATTTCAGAGATAAGCTCAAGATAATCTTTTACATTTTACCTCTGATTCCTTTAGTTTCGACAAAGTACCCCTCAAATGAAAATGAGCGAGGTTTGTTAAGTATCCAACAAAAGTTACCGAGTCATTGTACTGAGATAACTATTCGCTGTCAAGGCTGGAGATGCATGAAACCCAAGCTAAACAGACAGGCCAAACACTGGTAGAAAATTAAAGGACGATATCGCCCCCTAGTGGTTGTCTACAGGACTGATTAGTTTTATTATTTTGGTATTTTGAAATGGCGCATCAGAGTTTATTATTTCTAGTCCCTTTTCAAGCAGAATTATATAAAGTATTTAAAAATAAACAAAGTAAAAGTAAAAATACCTTAACAGAAAATGACTTTGGTAAAAGAATGATTTCACCAATAAGATAAGCACATAAGTATTAAAAAATAAAAACAAATCTGCTCACAATAATCGAGAAAGTAAAAAATAAAAGTGTTTTACACACACTCTAAGAAATTAAGTCATGTATTTAATTAACCAAACTGGTTTCACTGAACCTGGTTTTGTTAATTCAACAATTTACAAATTTTATTTTAAAGGAAATATGTTAATTGCTTTCCATTTACTCAACCAGGCTTAGTGAAACCAGTTGACTTAACTTGGTTGAGTAAATTCAACACTTATTTTTTTTAGCATGCATAAAACCACTCCTTTCATGATGAGTTCAGTCATATTTAAATTTGTTAACTGAGCCTAGTTGTTAAATTGTTAAGCAAAGAAACAAATGTATCATATTTAGGTTTTGAATGAAGCCAATTAAAAGCAAAAGTTACAATTAAAAATACCTGGTAAAATTACAAAGTCTCAAAAAAAAAAACCTCAAGTACAATAAAAAGTAAATGCACTTATTTACTTTACAGCTCTCCTTTTCAGGTTGTTCAAAATTAAATATTACATATAACATTATGTTGATTGCTTTATTAAAATTAATACGTTGTCGCTAAAATGGAAAGAAAACAAAATTGCATGATATCAGGTAATACAAAATTCATAATTGTATAATGCATGAATAATCATTGTTGATTGATTTATTGCCTGGCTTGGCAATAAGAAAATTTTATTTACAAAAGTGCTGGTTGGAAAGCTTTAATTTTAATTTTATTGATTTGGAGTGATGTCATCAGGATTTCCAGCCCTTACATTTAAAAAAGGGAACCCCCAAACTTCACAGTGATGTGTTATTTACTCCACAATTTGAAAACTATGTATCATTTTCATTCTAGTTTATAATTGTGCTACTTTTTGTTAGTTTATCATATAAAATCCTAGTAAAAGTCTTTGAAGTTTGTGGCTGTTACGTCATAAAATGCAGAAAAATCCAAAGGAGTGTTTGCCGAGGCACTGTAAATTCAAAGACCTCAGTGTATATTGTAAAACAGCACCACCATGTGGTGAGCGTAGGGTACTGCAGGGATCTTCTGAGACAATACAGGAGATCATCCTCTTGTAGAGGAGTGTCTCCGTGAGGAGCCGAGGCAGCGCTGTCAATGAGGAAGAAAACCTAGAACTCCATTAAATATATATACATATTTAAAAAGCTCCCTCTAATCGCGAGGCTGGCGAGCAGGAGGACCAATAAATAAAGCAGACCGGGAGGACCAGTCCTTCCTCTTCTCGCACCGCAAAGATGGGGAATCGGGGAATGGAGGACTTGATTCCTCTGGTGAATCGCATGCAGGATGCCTTCTCCGCCATCGGTCAAAACGCCAACCTGGACCTGCCCCAGATCGCCGTGGTGGGCGGCCAGAGCGCCGGGAAAAGCTCGGTTCTGGAGAACTTCGTCGGGAAGTGAGTAGCTTTACGGATGGCTGCAGTCAGCATGGATGATGATGATGATGGTGGTGGTGGTGGTGATACTGGCCCACTCCGCACCCCCCTTTCTTCTGTAGGCAGGTTCAGAGTCCTCAGGTTTTGACCCGGTCCAAATCTCCTTCCACTTGTTCAGTTTATTTGCAGTTTAGTTTGTTTTCACTGTCAGCCAGCAACTCAGCTGAGCAGATTATTTGGAAAGGCCTACATAAATCCCCACTGAACTTCATCTGTTTACCTCTTCGTGATGCATTCAGGGACCAGAAAAAAACCCCAACTTAAATCCAAAATTTACCCTTAATAAACCTCAAGATTTGAATTTAATAACCTAGTTGTGCTTGGAAATGAAATGTGTTTTTAAATTTGCTCTTTTTAAAAATCATTTTTCTTTTAAAAACTAATGTTTGCTGACAGTTTCAGTCTTTTATTTGTGTCTGCTGAAAACAGAGCCAAACCAAGCGAAGGAGAACACATCTGCTGTGTTCTGCTGCAGTCCCTGATGACCTTGCAGAGACGAGGGGGGAAAACACAGAGTCCACCTGAGCTTTGAGCCCTCTCAGCTCAGCCGAGCTCACCCATCTGTCTGTCAGTGCTTACAGGCTGGGGGGTGAAGCCTGCAGTGCTGCGTTCACTGCACAACCAGTGCTGCGTTCACTGCACCATCAGTGCTGCAGCCTGTTTGTCAAGACTTGTTTACACCTGATCAGAAGACTTTTATTGCTTCCTACTTCATTAGACATTTATGCATTTTAAATATAATCGTTCTGAGGTTTTATTTATTTAATTTTAACAATAATAGTTGTTTTGTGTGTATGTTTTTGTGTTTGGTCGGACAAATTTGAATGAAAGTTTCAGGAAGTAATCACTGGGTCCAAAATGCATTCCCCAAAACCCTCAGAGGATTTACCAATCACCATATTTGATAAAAATATTTTGTCCTATGCAGCTCTTTTAAGAGCCTCCGTTTAATATGGTTTTGCCTTTTTTTTTAAATGGATTTAAAACCTTTGTCCTCATTATGGATGGTGTCACCAAAACTGTGCTTTAGTGCCTGAGGGACTCAGCCTTCAGGAGAGATTTAAAGCTTCTTACGGTGACAGGTTATGTCAACATGTCAGGCAGATGATTTGTCTGCAGTTTGAACTTCGTGTTTAACTAAATGCTGGTTTTGCTTCCCGCAGTGTTTGTTGGCACTAAGCTGCTCTTTTAGTGCAGCTGCAGTGATGCTGCTGCTCCTCCTGCTCTTTCACCATCCGTTGTCTTTGCATAAACCAGCATAAACTCACAGTACACTGTTTGTTTACATCAGACAGCCTGCTTATTAAAAAAATCTAACCATAGCACAGTCTGTTAATTTATTTTTTAATTTAATTCCATATTTTTTTTTTAAATATTACAAGATTTTGCTTGCTGGATCAAATAAATTGAGAAGTGAAGAGAATTAAACAAACGGTTTTGGGCGTGATCCTCATTAAAACCATCACTGCAAGATGTTTGGTTATTTGATAGTTGAATATATTTGATTGGATGCTGCGTGTCAGGCAGGTCGGACTCAGGGACAAGGACAGTAGATGTTGACATTTGTTGTATTAATAGCATGTGATAGCAGTAAATCCAAATTCTTATTTTCATGTTCCAGTTTTTTTTCAGGGTTTTGCAGAAAACAGCTTTTTTTCACTGACAGTGTGTTTTCACAGCTCAGTCCGGTGTTTGTTTCTCAGTATTTCATTTAATCTCTGTTCAGCTGGTGCTTTATTGTTCAAAACAAATCCAAAACTCCAAAACAAATGCAGCAAAGTTAAGCTGAAATTGCTATTTTCACTGAACTAAAGCAGGTAATGGGATTCTTGTACCATTTTAGGGAAATAAATCAATCCTTTCATATTATATTATTTTAGTTTATACTGTATAATATTTTCTTGAATAAGAACCTAAAAATCCATTTAGCTATAATAACAGAAAAGATCACATTTGTGAGTTTATTTATCTTAAGGTTTAAACAGAATAAGTAAATGCTGCCAATAATCCATTTTTTAAAGTTTGATTAGTGTACTTACAGCTGTCTGTTCATTTGTATTTCTTGTATTTTCAACCAACAAGATAAGACTATTAAAATGAAAATGGTTTCTTGAAAAAAACAACAACAGAAAATTAGAATAAGTGGTGTAAAACACATATACAAAAAAAAATTCAAACAAAAACTTCCTGAACGGTGGCAAATAGAACCTTTAATTNATTGGGTGCAGTAACTCATATTTAAAAATTATCACAAAATTATGGCCAAGCATAACAATGTTTTTAAATTATAACTAAGCATCAAAGAATTAAGTATACTTATAGCATCTTTTAACTTTGACTTAATTAATAGTAATTACAACTAATCATGAATATGACTTGGAACCTCAAAGTTATGATTTTGGATCTCATTGTTATAACTCAGTATCTCATATTTATGGGATGTTAAGTCATAATTTTGAGATAGTATTGAATAAGCACAACATAAGTAATAAGAAGGAAACCTCAACTGTAATTTTATATTATAACTAAGCATCAAAGAATTAAGTATACTTATAGCATCTTTTAACTTAGACTTAATTAACAGTAATTACAACTAATCATGAATATGACTTGGAGCCACAAAGTTATGATTTTGGATCTAATTGTTATAACTCAGTATCTCATATTTATGGGATGTTAAGTCATAATTTTGAGATAGTAAAAATTATGAATACTATAACAACACAATGACATCTTTATTTTATAGTACTTTACTTTTGCTTTCAGAACAATTTTTGTCCTGAGTCCAATTTTATGAGCCACTGACCTGCATCGGTGCTGATTTCTCCTGCCAGGACACCGACTACAAGCACTTGATTTAAGCTAAAGAGCTCCTGTCCATCTGTCTTAGGTTAGTGGACATAGTTCTGTCCCATCAGAATATCTGTCACTATGTCACACAATGGAGTCTCTCTGGTTGGTTGATGCAGCGCGTTAAGCTTCAAAAGTTCAGATATTTCAACTCCAGCACCCGACACTTTAAGTGTGTCAAATGCTCAAATCATTCAAATCGCGCAGCTCTCATCGCGCTTGACGCATTGCAGCACTTCCCGACACTGCTTGACGCGCATCCACCACAGACTTTGCATGTAAACCTGACGCTCCTGATGCTTAAATCATGTTCGGTGTGAACGCAGCATTAATTCTGTGATTCCGACTGCAATTTCCACATTGTGGAAATCATAAGGCCGTTTTTGTATTTTAATTTTTTTAAACACCTGGGAAATATTTTCCATGTGCCCCCTGTAATATGCTCGCATACCCCTGGTTGGGAACCCCTGCTTTAGACAGTGTCCAAGGTCCTGAAAGTGCTAGATTATTTCAGGACTTTAGACAGTGTGAAGGGCTAAAGGAACAGCCCAAGGTACTCAAAATGCTGGAATGTTTCAGGGCTTTAGAAAATATGAAGGGCTGAAGGAACTGTCCAAGGTCTTGAAAGTGCTGGAATGTTTTGATGCTTTAGACAGTGTAAAGGGCTGAAGGAACTGCCCAAGAACTTGAAAGTTCTGGAATGTTTTGAAGCTTTAGACAGTGTAAAGGGCAAAAGGAACTGTCCAAGTTCCTGAAAGTGCTTGAATGTTTCAGGACTTTAGACAGTGTGAAGGGCTGAATGAACTGTCCAAGGTCCCGACAGTGTTGGAATGTTTCAAAATTTTAGACGTGAAGGGCTGAATGAACTGTCCAAGGTCCTGAAAGTTGCAGGCATCTTTCAAGACTTTAGACCAGGGGTGCCCAAACATTTTCCCCGAGGGGGCCAAAATGAAAAATCTATCCGGGGCTGCGGGCCAAATGCAGTTATATAATACATGAAATACAAAAACTTTTTAAATTAAAGTCCTTTATTTTTAATGATTAAGCTATGCAG